AGGTACAGCTGCCCAAGTGGGGATAGTTTTCAGGAATGTGCGGGGGGTCTCAAAGCTTTTGGGGTCACAAGGAGTTTTCAAGTGCACAGCCTTCCTTCTCTTCAATGAAGCCCCTTAAACCTCACCAAAACCTCAGATGGTTCTGGTTTAAGCCCACACACACCTAGAGGACGGGGCAGATTAAGACCAGATTAAGATAAAGTTACCCCTTCTTCGGCCGCTATGTCATTCAAACCCTAGCCCTCTCTGGTCAGTGGACAGAGGAACACACAAGCCAGAAAGATTTGCTTCATTCTCATACACACACAAAGACTTTCTGGTCATCCTCATAAGCCCTATTAGTCTGCCATAGAGCCTCTCATAGCAGACATCAATCACAGGGGGATTAGTCAATTCCCTCTCTAAACGAGTGGCAAGGGAAACTTCCCTTTAACTCCAAAGCTAGCCTTTCTTTGAGAGATTACATAGTGATTTGTTTTCATTTTGCTCCATCTTCATCATTTTGTTTCTTTTCATTTCTCTCCCTGCTCTATGTTTTTCCCGTTCTCTCAAGCTTGCAGCTTGTGAGGTAATCCTTGGCAGATAAAACTAAGGAGGACTTACCAAAGGCAGATTACAAGCCGCGCTTTGCGGAAGGCCCTTTTACACCAGTCAGCATGGGTATTGAGGAGAGCAAGCACTTCGCAGTGCTTAACTTGTGAACTCTACAAGCACTCACTGGAGGAAGAGGTGGAAAATGATAGCAGCATTACAGTAACAGGATCAAAAATATCTCAACATACAATACACACCTGCCTCTCAATACAGAGGTTATATTTGTTGGATGTAACTGGAAGGACCTTGCATTCATATGCAATTCCAATGTTTGTCAAGCGGACTCTCTCAAATGTATTTCTCAAAGCGAGATCATGCTGTCAACATTTTCGTACATGTTTCCACCATTTCAACTTCGGGCCTCAAGGAGCACAAACAACACATCTATTGCTTAGCACTTAGTTGTTCCTTTTCCCTGGACCTGGTGACAGCAATGCCCTGCAGCCTGACCCACCACAGAAAGCCCAGTGATTGGACATGGACTGCCTGAGTGAAGGAACTGGGTCTCCACTCTCCCACCAGATCCAATGACAGAGCACTCTGAGAGTCCAAACAGTTGGGGAGGGGTCCATGTTGGAAAAGGCAGACATTCAGGAATACTAACTAACCCCTGGACTTCTCAGGGATTATTCGACTAATATTACATGGCTTATGGAAGGCCTATAGAGGATCCAGTGGCTGGGATTCAGAAATTGATCACTGTTAGTAACTTCATTAAAGCATCTGGGACACAGCAGTGCAAAAGGCCATTACTTCATTTAAAATGCAGAAACATTTTTATACCCATTCTAACTAATTTCAAGTGTAGGAAATGCTCACAGTTACAGTCTGGGTATAGGCTTGCTCTTATTACTTTATGAGATGTATTTTTCAATGTTTTTGACAATTAAACATGAACACTACTACTACTTCTCGAGTGACGAACTGAGACCTCGATGAATATGTGTGTGTGTGTATCAAAGTATGAGACTTTAAAGTCCCTTTAACAAAGCTAAAAGCTGAGCAATTATTTTTTTATGGACCTTTGTGTGGCACTAGAGGAAAGGCTGCACCTGAACATTCTATTTTTTTTTTTTATGAGAAAAGTCAAAAAGTGTAAAGACAGAAGTAAAGGACTGTCCTTGTCCCTTGAGCTTGCTCATGTCAAGATCAGTCATACCAACAACCTCTACTCCGCTTCACAATGCAAATGTGGTCCTCTATAGCCACGAACCCTGGTGAAAGCTAATTAAGTAATATCATAGCCTTTAGTGCACCCAATTAAATAATGTTAATTTATTCTCATTTCAATTTGGAAGAAGTCTACACTGAAGTAGGGGATGTACCACTTAACATGAACCAAGTAATCGTAAAAGCAATCAAGTATTTAGGATGTCATTGAACTGATCTATTGATCTGTGAGAACAACATGGTGTTCAAATGGTTGATAATTTCACATGCAAGTATACTGTAAACTGCACATGGCTTTAGTATCTTTCTTCATACTTTCTAATCAAGTCAAAACAATGATTTAGTCTGATATTGAATATAGAAGTTTGATAAAAACTTTTTTCCCCACATACCTATCAGGCAGACTTTTCTTTATATGAAAATAGGGGAAATAATTCATGAAGTGGAAACTTGACAAAAAAAATTTCAAAGATCAGAGCATCTAAGTGTAGAATGGTCTGACGGGAGAATATAGAGATAAAACAAAAGGAGGAGAGGGATATCACTGTATTACAGGGAGGGGAGATGGACTGCATCCAACCAAACACAACTCCAACCCACCCAACAGGAACCCTTTCTGTTCATCTGAATTAATCCGGCGCTGCAATCCTTTCAAATTCTCCACAGACGGTAAACTTAAACTTCAAGCTGCAAAGAATGTATATCTCCAAGTTGGAACAAGTTGGAAGTGCAGACGTAACAGACTTAAACAAAGTTATGCAATAACACTTCCTTTCCAGAGGAAGATGTTTTACTCATTTGTTGGTTTGGAAAAACAAACGATAGTATAACTAATATAAATGCTTGCTAGAACCACTGATCCACAAACTAATAAAACTGCTTACATGGATCACCAGAAGTCTCCAGATGAAACTTCAAATAATAAATACTCTCAAAATAAATCTGTGTTGTACATTTAGCCACACCAATGGATTGGCTTTTGGCATCAGCTTATATGCATTGGCAGATATCCAAAGCTCAGTGCTCTTGATAGAGCTTAATGTAAATCCTATCCATATGTATAATACCTGTGCAAAGAGTAAGTGGGCGCATGCCATATGTCTCAGTGATGTACCGATTTTTCACAGACTGCCACTGAAGTAGGTGATGTTAATGCTATGACAGGGAGGATATAGCTCTAACTTATATGGAAAACATTTTGTGAAAGTGAATAAATAAATTATGGTTTTAGTGCTGTTTGAATGATAAATTACTTTGCATTGGTGGAACATATAGCATATCTGGGCTACAATTCATAGTCTGAGAAGTGGAAACTTATCAGGTAGAATATGTGCTAATGAAAAAATATACTAAACAACAAATAATGCTAGAAGCAAAACTGTTTTTTATTTATTAAAATTATCTGTTGCTGACTGTTGAGAGAAATTATTTTTCTGAATATTTTAGATGACTTGTGATGTAAATCATCAGCATATAGCTACTGAAGCAATGATATGTGCTTTTTGAGACAGTGGCTCAATGTATAAAATGTAAATGCGATACAACACATGCTAATCTGTGTTTCTTGGCAAAGGCCTGATTTAATTACAAACACATGTGAGGCATCCCTTCTCCTCCAGGGGAGGTTATAAATGTAAAACAATTCTCACATTCTGAGATTAGACCTCGATGTGCATTTATCTAGTTCCAATGGCCCACATGAAATGCATATGAATATGTGCTATATGCCCAAGATAGCGGTTAGCTGTATTTTAGGGGAAGGTTACAAAAATCTGAACTATGCCTAGGGTAAAATATGCATTATAAAAACAGATACATGGAGGCACCAGCACAAATCCACATGTTTACACTGTGATGTACTGGTTTTGCATTGGCCTCTCAGAGTGGGAATGTCTCCAGTTAATCCTCTCTGACTTCATACATTCAGAGGTCATCTCACAAACCTACACATACCCCAAACATGTGTGTGTGCACCTCTTTGTGAATGAGATCTGTACTGTATGTGTCAACAAACCCTGTAGGCCTATCCTTGTTTACGACCAATATCGGCTGGTCTTTCTTCAGTTCCACAGCCATCTCTCTCATTCCAATTCTTCCCCTTCTTTAGTCCATCTTTACCTACCCCCCTACCTTTTCTCAATTCATTCACTCAATCTCTGCAACTCTTCCAACCCTGGGTTCCAGAAGCAGGGGCATCTCTTGGCGAAGTGCGGCCCACCACAGGCCACTGGCTTTGGGTAATTAAAGTGGTTAAGGCCCCCTCACCCACGGTCACAGGCAACTGCAGCTGGGTGATAAAGGCACTGTGCCATAATTACATGGGCGGCCAGCATCACCGCCCAGCTACACTAAAACAGTCAGCTAGACAGCAGCCTGGGGAGGGAGGACCAGTGTGTGGAAGGGACTACGCAGGGCTTGGCTGTGTGCTGGGGAGCGCGCAGTGGGTCGACACCCCCTTGTGATCGCTCTGCTGTAGTTAAGCCTTCTGTGTTTAAGCCCCACATAGCCCCAGTGAGACTTTTACAGCCTCCCTTTCCCACACCACCCGCCAATCATTTCTCACCAGTGGTCTGTCTCCAACCACGAGTGCATGTGACCATCAGCCATTTAATTACAAAGCAAAATGATTTTGTTTAATTTAATAAATAAATAAACCCATGCAAAACAGTCCAGTAAACAAATACCTGTATTCAAATGAGGGTTTGGTAAGTTTGAGAAGTACAGAGAAAAGAGATAGATGTGCGGGTGGAAAAATCTGCACAGAACATTTGTTGGAAAGTTTTAAGTCTGAAACTAAAAGGCTAATAAAATTGATAACATAGTGATCTGATATACATTAAAACAAAGAAAGAAGATCTAGGTGGAGTCTACTGAGGGTAAAATAAGTATGCATTTTGTGTGTTTGTTCATAGACTATGGCTGACTAGAGCCTACAGGGGGAGGGAAACTTTCAGACAAAGACGCACACACTTGTTATATAAAAGTGCAAATATTGAGCTTTTTTAAATAAACTGAGCTGACAGAGAGTCCAGACTTTCTTAGGGCAAACTGCAGTGTTCAATTCTAGGTGATCAAACAGCCCAAGTAAGAACCCACCATAGCACCATTATTTGATCATTATTACAGTTACTATAATGTGAAGGCATAAAGCAGGTCTGAATGAGACAAAAATTAAGTGATGACATTGCTTGTTCTTGTCATCCTGTCACAGTCACACAGTATTTAATGTGATTTACCTTAGGGGAGGAGGAAGCCAGCTCCCTCCCCATGACTGCAGCAACAGAGCTGGGTCCTGCTGGTGGGGCCCTCTCCTTGTCTGGGCCAGGACTAGGTTTGGGATCTAGGACAGAGGAGCCAGCATGGGGACTGACACTAGGAGGTGGGGGGGCCCTCCTCTTCTGGCTGCTCCCCTCATCCAAAGACGAGCTGCCAGTGGGAGGCTGCACAGGGCTGGATGTCCTTGGCTCGTAGAACGGATTGGATCTGGGAATGAGAGAAAGGAAACAAAAGGATCATGTTAGCATGAATTGCATATAAACTGGCACTGAGGTTTATGCTGTATTTTCTCATTTTCTTGAAGGACCCTTTATGCATGTTCACTTTCTGGACATCTTTGCATTGGTATTTGGGGAACTGTTACTTCCACTTCAGGAAAGACAGTTGGAAGAACTGGACGGAGCATGTCCAAACTGTTAAATAACTGCCTGGATATGAACAACATGACAGTAACAGCTGACTTTGCTCTTATTACAATTCAGCTGCAGAAATAATGAAATATAATTTTTTTGCCAAGTTAAAAACAGTATACCATGCCAAAGTTAGGTAATGCATGTGTAAAAGAAAGTATTTGCAGGCATAAAAGCAGCAATTTTTTTTCTTTTTTCTACTACAGTATTTAACTAAAATTATAAAGACTAAACCCACAAAATGGAAATCTGGGTTGCAAAGTGAGAGAAATAAGTAATTGACTCAGCTATCCACTGAAAAGGTTAGTAATCATAGAAGGAAGGCAAAGAGAAGAAATGCATAGATAGGCAGAGCTATTGAGCAACTCTAGCAGACCATCGCAGACTAAAAGACGTTTGTAAAGAGTGCAGTCAAAACACTGGGTTGCCCTCTTGAACTCCTTCATCCTGCCAAAAACTGCTCTTGTATCAAGAACAAACTGAAAATACTTGCCAGTCAATAACGTGTCTGTCTTTAGCAGAGAGGACAAAAACATATGGCTATCTGCCTGACAGTTTCACTCAGCAGTCAGGACCTGAAGGTTTACATTTACAATTTAGCCATGACCACTCTCTAAGGTCACCCACGCAATCAGCAACATTCATCGGTGCACAAAAGGACGACGCAAAGATGCAATTCTGCATAATAAAATATATAATGTAAGCAACAGCAAATGATCAAAAGGGTTAAACTTAAAGAAACGTACTTTGTCATCTATTTGTAAGGAATATGGTAAAAAAAAATTAGGGCAACAAGGTGAAATGATGTGGTGGGAGCAGTTAAGAAACAAAAAAAAGTAGGAGGGGTAGGAGGTCGACAAGCTTAAAGAATGCAATGAAACAACAGGGCCCTTGTTCCTGTTGAAAGAGATGCTTCGTCAACCTCCTGTCTGGGTAAGAGAGTGAGGGGGGCAGAAAGTAGCACTGGACAGGGGTACTAGCTTTGCCTGCCCGCACCAACTAGGCAAGGCACCCTTTACCTTTATTGGTAACTCAATGTTGAAGACAATGCAAAAATATTACATATGCTGTCAGCACTTTTTAAGTTTAAGAGTGAAATTGTAAAAGAAAATAGCTAGAACAGCTTTGAATAATTTAACCAAATGTCAGCGTATTTCATTGTTTCTTGGAGCACTCCAACTCTTTGAATTAATGACATACTTCTTATTTAAGCCCTCAAATGTATGAAGCATTAATTGAGAAACAGCAATTATGCAATTCATTCGAACATTTTCAGAGAAGGAGAAGTAAAAATAATAATGACATCTAATAGTATAAAGGATTAAGTCATACTCATCAAGCTCGTCTTGGTGGTTGTGGGAGGTTTCAGCGTAGAGATACTTGCTCATGTCGACAGGCCGCACGCCTTTCTTCTGCCTGGGTTTGGGGGGCTCGGGGCTGGGCTCTGGGTCTTGGTCTGCCTCTTCAAATGGGTTTCCTGGGGTCTCTGGATCTTCAGACTCATTAAATGGATTTGAAGAATCGTGGTCATTACAGAAATCATCTTGGTGTCGTGGAACTGGCTGGACAGGGGTCTCTGTTTTAAAAAACAGAAGAATACATACATACATAACACATTGCAATACAATACAACGCAAATCAACTAAAACATTGGTGGTATTCCATCAAAATCGCTTAATAAATCTAGGCATATACTGAAATGCTAGACTAATACGATCATACAATATTACTATAAAACATGTACTCACTTTTTACAATTAATTTTAATGTTTCTACTATTAGTATCAGCAATACTATGAATTAAACATACTATTTACAATATTAGTATAGAAATTTTGCCTAAAAAACAAATAAATGTTTTATATTATTATATGATCAAAATATAAGTGTATCTGTTCTTTTTGATAAAAGAATGAAGTTTTGGATCATATTTTTCACAATATTAGCATGGGCACATACTGTATATCTTTTTTTAAAAATAGAGAAAATGCATTAGTGTTATATAGCACTTTTCCAAATGCTCTGAGCAGCTTTATAATTTTGTGCATAGTTCATTCACTACATATTTGGTGCTATTAAGTTACTATTGTAGCCACTGCTTCTGTGGGAAGCGAGGCTGCCCATCTGTGCCATCAGCCCCTCCGATTACCACAAACACACACACCACGTTCATATGAAGCTATGTGGCCGAAGTGTCCTGCCTAAGGACACAAAAACAGTTTTATTGTCTGTGTGATGTTCTGGTTGATTTGTATAATTTTTGTAAAGGTTAGGTAAAGGTTAGGCAGTCAAAATGTTTTTGTTTATCCAGCACTTGCTTGAGGGACAGATTTGACTGTGTATTCTGGCCTGTTCACAATACCTTCCTCCTCAGGCTCTCCAAAAGGATTGAGGTGGTTGGGATCTTGGAGGTCATCCTCAGGGTCATCAAACGGATTGGTGCTCATGGTGGGAGGGGCGTCTGGATCTTCGTCTTCCAGAAAGTTCAGCTTGTTGATCAGTTCTATTGCCAAATAATCCATGTTAATTTAGAAACTCTTTTGAAAATAAAATAAAGAACAAAAAAACTACAAATAAATCACAACAAGCACTTGGGAGTGAGTGAACTAATATATTTAGTTTGGCAAGACGGCGTGGGAAAAATGTAGTTACTATGGTGAACCTAGAAAGACTGCATATAACTTGTCCACATAACCTTTAACGTTTAAAGATTATAGAGCCAGTTGGTGGCACAACTGGATGGGTTGAATAACTTAACAGTTTTTGTGTGTTCTGTGTTCTATTCTTTTCAGTCTAAAAGAAACTGAACCCAAATTAACATATGGGCAATTGTAAAAGTGTATTATTGTTCGGGTGTGCTGCAAAAGTCAGCAGTTTACTTATTATTACATAATAATTACATTAATGGAAAGAGATTTGTCAGATGTTTTGTAGAGTTCAATTCACTACAAAGTGCAGCAGAAGAAAAATACCAAAATAAAATCACAAAAACACTTTTCACAACACCACATGAGCCAAAACAAAAACTGACACGATCACAATACAAAACTGAAACTGTACAGAAGGACACAAGTGGAGGGATTCAAATGTCCATTGGCGAAAAAAGAGGTGTAGTACATTGAAACAGAAAAAGATAAAGAAAAGAGAAAAAAGACCTTGGGATGAAGCGGCAGGCTTAGTTTTGCGTGCTCGCTTTGGGAAACCATCATCATCATCATCCCCATGTAAGCAGCTCAGGGCATTCAACTGGTTTACTATCTCTGTAAACGGCAGGCCCATAGAGGACAGGTGGAAGAAAGAACAGCAGAGAGAAGACAAAATAACACGCACAATTTAACAATACGGCCAAACACAACAGTTTGTTTTGTGTTTAGCTAGAAGTAAAACAAACTAGCACACCCAATGTTTGAGACACTCTATGGTTGGGTAAAAGATGATTTGGCTATTTTTATCTTTATATTTCCTTGCTACATCTCTGTATCAATTCATATAGGTATTTATTATCATTCCTAAATGAATTTTTAGTACATTGCTATTAGTTTTAATAGACCTAAATAATAATATAAATAGCTAAAGTGAGGTTTTGCTAGGCAGGCCTTTCGGTTCAATAGTATATTGTATTCCTTAAAAGATGCAGCCATATTTGGTTCTTTGAAATGTAAAATTCATTTCTCCTACACAAAAAGAACACACCACAAGGCACATCTGGCCGTAACATAACAGTATTGTCTATGGACAGAATCTCAAAGATGGTGGGGTGTTTAGGCAGCGTAGCCAGACCTTTGATTCAAGGATGCACACAAGTGAATCACGGCTGAAGGCGCTCAATGCACATACATACAAATGAGATGAAGGACAGAGCAGAAAGAAAAGAAAGCATGGGGCTTAACACAAAGTGATGCTGCCCTGAAAGTTGGATTAAACAAAGCAGAAAGATACAAGACCAAGACTCTATGACTATAGAATCTATACTAAACTCACATATGTAGACCATAAATGCAGTATACAGACTGTATAACACAAAATACTCTATACATAAAACTCTATCTCTCTCTCCCTCTCTCTACCTCTCTCTATCTCTCTCTATCTCTCTCTATCTCTCTCTATCTCTCTCTATCTCTCTCTATCTCTCTCTATCTCTCTCTCTCTCTCTCTCTCGATATATAGATATATATATGATGAACAAATGAAGAGTGCCATGAAAACAAAATAACTCTTTAAAAAGATCGAAAGTGTCTCATTCATAGGACCACTGAAGCTGAAGAAGTCAAGTGTTACAGCATTGTGGTTGTAATTTTAATTAGAAAATGAGATTTTAAAAAAACAACTGGAATAACACATTGCTATTCTTAATGTTTATTACAAAAGTTGTGAATTCTTGTTTACCTGTGATTTTGGCAGCTTTCTCCTCCTGGTTCACCCTGTTTTCCTCGTCCTCCTCATTGTCCTCTTCAAAATCATCCAGGTTTCCAATATCAGCCTGTTTCATGCTCATTAAGCTGGCAAGACTCTGCATGTCTTCATCCCTGGATAGACAGCAGAGTCCATAATGCATTTATTTTGAATTTTGACGAAATATATCTAATGTGTGCTTGTTGTAGGCAACACATCATAACTCTTATTTATTCCCTACATAGGGTAAATGTATACACTCCAAAACCATCTCCTCTATATCACTCTCCACCATCATATTCTGTGCATTTAGCTCTGTGTTCTTTGTGTTGGTGCTTCCCAGGCCTGTGGGTTCATTGAACAGTGATATAGTTTGTTTGTGTGGTCGACATCATTCGGTGAAGGGTTAACAAGGGTTATGTGAGATCGACCTGCCATCCTCCACACAAAGGCCTGGCTCCACTTCATTCCAGTTATGTGGGAGGTTGTCTTTAAATTAAACTCGCTGCTATCAAATTAGACTGAATAACAAACAGACACTCCAATGAATGGGTTAGAACATGTCTTCAGAAGAAAAGAAGTTGGCCTTAAAGCATAATGTGAAAATGAAGACAGCAAATAATAACTTGAATGGAGCTAAAAATGTGTTAAGCCAAACAGTAGATTTTGTGTTTTTCAAACACAACTTTCATAATTCCTATTACAACAGCCCATTTAACAATGATAAAATAAAAAATTTGTGGTTTCTAGGTTCAAACTAACTGAAAGAAGACATATTTTAACTTATTCTTCATCAATCCAATAGAGGTAATAATTCTGTGGGACATTTCTGCCAGACTTACGTGGCCTTTCCCTCGCGGAGGAAGATGCAGGAGAGGGAGAACTGCAGAGTGGCAGACACCACCTTTTTGGACAAGGGCTTAAACTTCAGCTTGACATCCGTTTGTGTAGGCATGGGGCTGGCATACTGCTTCATGTTAATGCTGCTGGTTGCCAAGGCCTTCCTCCTTCCAGATGGCGACTCCTACAGAGAGAGAACAACATACGATTTAATAAAAATCTGTTATTATTCGATATTCAAATGTATAATGGGAATGTTACTTTTGTAATAATACCAGCCCTATTTTATCTCCAATAGCAGAAATTATTGTATTTATTATTGAGACTAGTCATAGATGTTCTTGACGTAACAAAATGTTTACCTGTGGTGTACTACATTTGGGAACAGCATAACTATCTACAAAGTGTGTCTTCTATGCCGCTCATTGTAAATTCAGTCATAAAATCCTTCCTGATATTTCCTATCAAAAAGGTCCATGCTGAAACCATTTTACTGCACCTCAGAGATGTGCTTTGGGCCAGGGGCTAGCAGTCAAATTGGAATTTGGGAATATGCCACAGACCAGGTGATAAGAGTTATAGAATCAGTGACAGGCCCTTAGCGTGCGTGCGTATACACGTGTGTGTGCGTGGACACAAGCAGCACACCAGAGGACAGTGTGAAAAATGAGAACTGCTGCAAAACCTTGTCACCAACTGTTAGATATGGAAACCAAACAGCTGGAGATGTTCCAGCTTTTTGTCTGCCTCTGTAGCTTTGAAAAACTGATTTTCACAGCATGTCCAACTCTAGTGGTACTGCTTAGATGTGTGGGAAATATTGACAGATCACAAAAACAATACTGTTGGTTTCATTCATATTTTATAGACCTACTTTAATGCACTTGTTCAAATACTAGCTCCATCCCATCCCATTCATTCATTCATTCTTCCTTTTTTGTCTCAATTTACTGAATATGCTTTAAGAAAATATAAATATATTCTTATTCCTTACCTTTTTAGGCTCTGTTTGATGTTACCAGAGTTAGCTGTCTGATTTAAAAAGTGCATTGTTTGGTAAATGGCACTTAAATAGTCTTTAGCTCAAGATAACTTGAACTAGCACAGCATAGCTACACACAATAATACACTCTAACCACAAGTATTTTATGTGCACAATGCTGAACAATTTACAATAGGCTCTCATTCATGCCACACATCTTTGAGAGCATATATACATATAAAGGGCGGTATCGGAGATAAAGTGATACAGGATCTCATTCAAACACATCTGGGCATCGTTCTGTGGGAAAAACTCAATCTCACTCTTATCGTGGAGGACTGCAGGGTTTAAGTCACACCTGTCTATCCATTCAGTTTTGTAAAGAGACAACAGGTAACACTAACCTACAAGGAGTTTAAAAAAATGACATCTAGGTATTTCCATGGCTCACTTAGTGTTTTTTCTTTTTTCTTCTAGCAACATTTTAATAATGATAATATTAATTAATAATGTTAGAATTCTGAGAAAAACAAGAACACAATATAACAATTATCCGCGATTTTGACACATCACCTTCACTTCACCTATAACAACACTAGACCTAAATAATGACAACTATTCATCAACCTTTAATAATATTGACAATCCTCATACGTTATACTATTTTACATTCCCTTGATTCTAATCCTACTCAAATGTATGACTTGGGAAGCCACTTTCGCGGTCATGCTCACATTTGAGTTTTGTCACATAATGAATTAATGTAGCGCCATCATCACCAACCTCAGTTAAACCAAAGCACCCACCAAGTCAAGAGACAAAGACGAGCAAATTCTCCCTCTCCAACTCTTATCTCCCAGCAGATTACAGCCTGCTATTATACTAAGCTAATAGCGCATGGAGATACTTTATGAATGAATTTGTTCAATGCACCAAACACTTAAGAAGAGGGGATTTAACAAAAAGGAGAATGGGGAATGGATGGGAGGAGAGGGGTATTGAAAAATAGAAAATACTAAAGGATATGCAAATACCTTTGTGAAAGAATGGAATAAGTGTTTCAACAGATTTGAGTAGGCCATGCAAACAATGGGAATGTGCTCTATTTCCCTGGATGCCGCTTGTCAATCAATGCGACTTGTGAGTGAGTGTGCATGTGTGTGTAACTGAAAGGTGGATGGGATTATGGAGGGAGAGGGGTTATGACATGATGTGTAAAATGAAAGGGAAGGACAATGCACAAGTTTAATTTATTACTGAGAGGGCAGGACTATCAATATGCACTCTTTTCTGAGCACTGAGAAGGACTAAATACCTGAGTTGAATGTTTGTGGGCGTAAGGTAAAAAGTCCGAGAGCATTGGAAAGAGGATTGGAAATAATAGCTTTATGTGTGCTGCCCCCTAGCTGCCTCAAAGTGTTGCTGCATATTATCAATAAAAGCTAAGAATGTAATGAAAAGTCTTTGCGCATACTGGGGCTCTTTTTTTTGTTAAATTGTTGACCCCATGATAAACTTCCACTAAAGATACCTTTTTTCACCTTTTGTATGTTACAATTCTTCATAATAATGATGAAATCAGACTGGGGCATTACCCATCATCAGCCCTTTGCCTTGTGCCAGCTGGCCCAGGATCGATCCAAAAGTGCACCCTGGTGGGGGTAGAGGGGTCAGGGCAGGAAGGGGGTACCCAGGGGTTCTCCTGAATCCCAATGCCCCAAAATGCCAACAGGACAGGCCATAGAAGGGAGGGGCCATAGAAAGGGGGGCAGATCCTTTTCGTCACAGACAGATGGATTAATTAAGATGAGTGCTAATAGAGCTTGGAACCTGGGACTGACAGCTGAGTAGTATTTAGAAAAGTGCCCAACACACTGCAATCAGGTAATGGTTTTTTAACAAAGGTCACGAGTCAACAGGTCTCAAATAGGTCAATGTTCATCACTGATTTAAAACATTTGGAGATCTTTCACCATAAAATCCTTGTCTGTTTCAGATTTTTACCATGTTGTGGAAAATGAAGCAGAAGATGACTCAACCTCAGGGGAACAATGACCATCTGCTTGATGTGGAACAAAACTTATCTTAAGCCACTTGTCACATGACCCATAACTTAAGGACAAACAGAGGTCTAAGGTACCACAGGCTAAATGTTTTTTTTTTTCAGTTTCAAATTCTTTAAGTTAACAACTTATTTCTGTATTCACATTTGATTTAGTATGGGAAAAAGTCAAAACACATAATAGTACTTTTATATATAGTATCCGTGCCATTATGACACATTTGTTACACATTTGAACTGATGTTAGGTTTAGTTTACAATAACATAGAACTTTTTAAAATGCCAATGAGGTGGTGCCACAATTACAGAGCCCCTCTTTAATTTGCCATTAAATGGAAGTTTTTATAACCCTGTTTGTAACTGAGTGTGTTCATTTCTTTCTCTAAAACTAGAGAATAAAATACAGCATTACTTATTACTTATTGCTTTATATTAATAACAATAATGACATTTAGTGGTTGGTATAGACTTAAAAAATAACCTGAATTCTCACTGAGTAACACTTCTCTCTAACATATCAAATCATTTGGTGGTGTGGAATTCAGTAGTCAGCAGATTGGAGGTGGGGGCACTGTGCTGCTCCTCCTGCCTCAAGGTCATAGTTATTGGAAATAGAGACATCCAATGTGCTCACATCTCTCTTTGAATCCACACACAATAGACTGATTCCTCTGTGTCAATTTGGCGTCCCCTGATAACTGATAAGGTGGGCTTTTTACATACTACTATGAATACTGCACTATAGGCTTTATAGGCCCGCACACATGCAGATTAAGACCAATTTATTCATCTGCTACCTTTATATATGAGGATTTATTTTCTCCTCCCGAAGCAGAATGGCTGTGTATTTTAAAAGGCAACAAAAACATAAAGGGCATGCAGTACTACCAAAGTAATGTGAATAACAATAACAATGCTGTCCATAATGGACAAGATCAAGCAAATGGGGTTTACATAGTTAAAAGAACATCCGTCCAGCGACTTCTCCAGACTCCATGTTCACAAAGCAGAGAAGAATTGAACTAGACTAGAAATATGCAGTGTGGAAACCATGAAAGAGTGTTGGTATTTGAAAATGTGAAGAGAGACTGATAACAACAATTTGGATTGAATTATATTTTATGAATTCTGTATAGAACAAAGTATTTCTCAGAGAACTAGCAGATGTAATTTAAGTCTGAATCTTAGCCATGGTCATAGTGTGTGTCTAAAAGTAGGGTTGAATGATAAAGAAAAGTGAAAGGAATGTCTTTAATGTGGGGTTGCCTCCAATGGCAGAAGATGAAAGCCGAGTAGCCACAAACTAACTGGCCCTTAAAAAGACTAATCCTACCCAAGAAAGAAGATCATTTTTCTGCTGGCATGCACTGCTCTCACACAAATCCAACAAATAATCTAAGTGTAACGTGACTCTGCTTCCACAGGTCAACCAAACCAAAACATTTGGCATTTGACACATAAAGACATATACATTTAGGACATAATGACTCATTTTCATATTGCAAAATCTTAATTTAGATGCCAGCATTTGCTGCATTTTCCAAGATGTCCCCCCCCCCCCCCCCCCCAACCCCATCCCCATCATTTTTGACCATACAACTCTTATCAGTGTGTCCAGGACGGCCTCCTCTCTAACTCTACGGTTCTTTCTTTTGGGTGGCCCTGAGTGCCCCCCATGCACACTCAGACCCAGAAGATGCACTTCAGACAGGGGGCTAATGGGAAAATAAATTACCAGCAGGCAAAAGCCCTGCCTCTGCACTTCTGCTGCAAAGAGAGAAACTGAACATGGCGGCCGTTTACAAGAAGCAAATGGTCAAGAAATGGAGTGAGAGGAGTTGAGAGAAAATGGCAGTAAGAAGGATAGTACTGGATGGTAAAGGAAGAGGAAAGGAGTAAAAGGGGGAAAAAATGAAATTTGGGGTAAATAATTGCAAAAGATGTGCACAGAAAGGTCAATCGGATTAGACCATCCCTGGTCTGTCAAGTGCCTGCTCATCACTTTCTGTACATTTCAGCATCACTGGTCAGCATCAAGGCCAATAACATGTCTTTGCCATACAGTGCCAATATGATCAACTTCTATATCTAAAATTAATTATGAGCCCCTGTAGAACAGGAAGCTATGTGTGGTATCACA